TTGTCTGACTGAGTTCTGAAGAGAAGTCATCTGGGGAGAGAGTTGGCTGGCTGAGGTCAGGAGAGACTGTTGTCTGACTGAGTTCTGAAGAAAGGTCATCTAGGGAGAAGGATGGTTGATTGAGGTCTGGAGAGGTGGTTGTCTGCCTGACTTCAAGTTCCAAGGAAGGAAATATTTGACCACTGTCAGTAGGGGATGACTCGTGACTTAGGTCATAGTTGAGCATCTGGTCAAGCTCTGGAGGAAAGAGTCTGTGATTGGAAACTATAGTAGAGTGCATTTGATCAGGGTCTTGAATATAAGAGCGTTCCTCTGGGGGCACTGTATGATAAATATCTGGAGGGGAGCTTGTCTGACCAGTGTTATTGTTTTGGGGGCTCTGATCATGGTCAGGAAGTGCAGCTATCGGGCCAGGATTCATAGAGGGCAATGTCTGGTTGAGGTCTGTGAGAAGAGATGTTTCGTTGGACTTGTGGCGTAACAATGAATCATCAAGTTTTCTGTCTGAAAATGTGGTGTAGGCCTCTCCTCTTAGGGGATGAAGGCCCCTGGGAGACATAGGAACATAGTGTGTAAGCTTCTCTTCCTTTTTCTTTTTTCGTGTCTTAATGTAAAAAGAGGTTTTTTTCAATCCAGGATTTTCTCCATCCTGTCTTACTTGTAGAGACTTACGTCTAACTCCAGAAAACCTTGGATGTCCACTCTGCTTTACGTGCTTGTTTGTAAGGGGGGTGCTATCTCTCCAAGGCCTTGAGCCATTCTGGGGGCTGTTCAGCAGCTTATTAACTGTCATATCTTCATCAGTTTCTTGGATTACTTCGTAGCTACCTTTCTCAGAAACCAAATGCCATTTCCCATTTAAAATCTTAGATGGATTCTTCTGTTTTAAGAGTAACAGATTGCTAGAAAGGTCCTCCCAGGGCCCCATTCTGGAAGTAGAAATATTGTCTTGTCTTAAATGTCTCCCAGTTTTATGTGCTGGTATTTCTTTCCAGGAAACCCTGAGCTTTGCCGCTCGGTCTCTTTCTGCCTTTGATCCCTTATATTTAGCATGTTTTTGACTTCTGAATCCTTCTGCACCAATAGGAAGTAAGCTTATCCCTGTAACATCTGACTGCAGAGGATCTTCTTCAGAATAAAGGCTGGAATGCTCTCCTGTAGAAGGGTTGAGAGCTGAGCTCTTGTCTAAGCCAGTGGCGTGCCCCAGGAGGGAACCAGCAGTTGTGGCTCCTGGGTGAGGAAGGGTTTTCTGAGGTTTGGAGAGATCATTGTCCCTGAGCCAGCTAATGTTACTTGGGTAAGAAGAATTTGAACCAACAGCTGTATCTGCACTTGGGGCAATGAATTCAGAGCTGCTCTCCAGAGCTAGGGTAGTAAGATTGAACTCATTTTCCTCCTGATTCAGTGATAAATTTCTGAATGACCTAATTCCTAATGATGAAGCCAGTGAATACTGGTAATCGTATTCTGTAGCATCCTCTTCACTTTTATTTTCTGAAAAATCACGCATTTTCCGAGTGTCCATGGCTGTAGATGCTGAAGGTCCATATATAATCTCATATGAGTCTTCATAATCATGCCGGATACATTTAACATCCCTGAATCTCAGCCTTAACTTTTCGCTTCGTGGACTGGAACTCATGGTAGTTAACATCCAAGTTCCTATAGAAGAGAGACAGAAGAGAGAACTGAAAGTTCAAAATAAAGTATAAAATGCTAGGAACCATTGTTGCAAGTAATTTCTCATGAACTTTAGATGAGGATACTCAAGTGTGATCTGTGGACCACTGCTGGTCTATGAATTGCTGGTTATTGGTACATAATGACATAAGGTCAGAAATTGAGTGTAACGTGTTTAGGAACCGTTTTAGCAATTTGACATTGCTGTGACATCCAAGTATGAGATCAGTGCATTCATCTCATTTAACAGAATATAGACCGAAAGTGGCACCCTGGTGGCACAATGGTTAATAGTCTGGCTGCTAACCAAAAGATTGGCAGTCTGAATCCACCAGCTGCTCCTTGGAAACCCTATGGGGCAGTTCTACTCTGTCCTATAGGATCACTATGAGTCAGAATCAACTCAGTGGCAATGGGTTTTGTTTTGTTTTTTGCCTTAGACCACAAGTATTGGCCTGTAGAGATTAAGGAGAAAAAAAAGTCTTTCAGCACAGACAGTTTGAGAGTCACTATTTTAGAATATGCTAAGGAAGGGATGAATCAAGAATAAAATGGACTTTGAATATCACAAACATCTTGTTAGTTGCACACTAGGTGCTTGAGAATTGGAGTCGGGGTGATGAAGAGGTCTACCTCTACAAATCAGAGACATTTCAATATTTCTAAGTATGGTGCCTTTGTAAAACTTGACTTTTCCATCTTTTACCATCAACTCCTTTTTATTTCCTATTGTTATTAGTAGAATAAAAGTCCTATATATCCATAAAAAGACTCTTACGTCTGTTTTAGAGGCAGCAAGGAAAAGGATTAAGCAGAACATGTTTGGTAGAGATCTAAGACAGTACACTCTCTTGGACTAATGAAGAGTAAATAGTGAGAGCAAGCAAAAATAGTTGTAAAAGAATGGGAGATAGGATAGTAAGAGTGAATATCTGTTAGGCAATAAATAATTCAATTGGGCCCAGGGCAATTATGAATCTCTTTGAAGTGGTATGATTTGCTGGCACACTAAAGATTTCCTGGGAAGTCTCCGATAATTACCAATAGTTGAGGGTGTACTGAGTACTAGGCACTTTACACAGACTACAAATAATGCTGAAAGCAACTCTGTAAGATGTTATTATTTGAAGAAACTGAGGCTCAATGAGGTCAGGTAACTTGTCCAAGGCTATATAGATATTCATTGGCAGAACAGGATTTGAACCCAGGTCTAGTGAACCCCAAAGCCCACATGCTTTCTATGACACTCGGCTGTCTCTGACGCCCAGCCTCTAAGGCACTGTGTCTGATGATGGCTCACCCTAGAGTGGGATGGCCATCTTAAAAAACTGAAAGAAATGTTCTTTGTGGCTGAAATGTTCATACTTCCTCAAAGCTACACCTTATCTTTCTGCTATTGTGTGCGTCTTTACTTCCTACTTAACACAGGGAAGAATAAATGGAGCTTATATTAAAGGATTGAGCCCACTAAAGTAATTAATTTCCAAAATAGAAATCATGAGAAGCATTAAAGGGAAAGCCTGCAATGGATCAGAGAGATAAGCCCAGGAGCAGTGGTAGTCTGAGAGCTGCAGCAGACCTTTATAGATGGGAGATTCAAAGTCAAGTATCTTTCCAAGTGTCCAGGCTCTTACTTACCGACATTATCCATTGTGACGGTCACAGATTCTCCACGCATGGGGAAGAGGACCAGGGTGTCCTCGTGCCTCTTTCCATAGATGAATGAGTGCCCAGTAAAATGAATAATCAAAACGTCATCCTGTGTACCCACACTGCAGAAGTGCCACTGGACAGTGTCATCAAAACAGAATCCTAGTGCGCGTATACTCTCAGGCACATAGCCATTGATAGCTGAAATAGTCAAATGTGTTAAAACGCCAGGCCTGTGCCAACAAAAGAGCATGCGTCTAATTATACCTAAGATAAAGGTCCCCATGTTGATTTGGTCGCCCACATTAACACCACTGCATCAAAGCAGTGACTATCCAAAATAAGCTTTGCCATGTCTAACATGTAGCTAGAAAGTCAACTTCAGATTCCCCAAATGAGAACTTATTCTCCTAATTTGGCCAAGGGAGAAATGTCAGCATAAAGTCTTTCATTTATGTTAATTTATTCATTCATTCATCAAATATGTATTCAATATTTTGTGCTCTATGCTTTGCCTTTGAGGATATTCTGAAGATCAACTTAGAATATTAACCAGAATAATTCCATCTGGAGGAAAGGCATAATGTAAGAAGGTCATCTTCTTGTCCATTAGTCATTGAGTCAGAAGTAATGTCCCTAAAAATGAAGCACAGCCACCTCTTATCATGTATATAATCTATAGTTTTCATTAAACTATTGAGTTTATACACTTTTATTATCTTTAAATGTAACACTGCTTTTGGCAGTATCTTTATTTACTTCTTTACTAAGCATGGTAACAAAACCAAAGGTATGATTTCTGTAAGGGCAGGCCCATGTCTGCCTAGGTCACCACTATAGTCCCGGCCCTGGAACAAAGACTGGCGCTAGTGGGCATTTAACAAATATTTGTTGAATGATTGAAATAAGGTGCTATTAGTTTCTCTTCATTCTGAATATTTTTCTAAATGTTTTTTCTAAATGTTCTATGTTATCCAATATGGTAGCCACTAGCTACAGGTGGCTACTGAGCACTTGAAATGTGGGTAGTCTGAACTGAGATGTGCTATAAGCGTAAAATGCACATAATATTTCAAAGATTTAGTAAGAAATAAAAAAAACTAAATATTTTTTACATTGATTACATGTTGAGATGATAACAATTAGGATATATTGGATCAAATAAAATTAAAATTAGTTTCACATATTTCTCTTTAATTTTTAATGGGGCTACCAGAAAATTTAAAACTGCATATGTGGCTCCTATTAAATTTCTATTGGACAGTGCTTATCTAGAGCTATGACAGATTCACTACCAAAGTAAAATTATGCAAAGAAAGCTGAGAATAACCCCCTATTTGGAATTAGTTGTCATGGACCTGTGGGTCTTGGCAGTTTCTAATTGTCAGTCATCTGAAAATATACTAAAAGAAAAATCCCATTTCACCATGCCAACAGAAAGTCTATTTATCTCTGTAATTGAGCACCTTTTAACTTGAATGATTTGCTGGAGGTGTTCCAAATAGTTGCAAAGGATAAAACAGAAGGCTGCAACAGAAGGAAGCTATATGAATGGACCTTGGAGAAATGATGCTCTTCTGTATGAGCACCTATCAGAAAAGGCGATCATGGTGACTCCCCACCCTGGGGAACAGCAGAGGGTGCCTGGCTATAGTGGAGATGTTTGCTTCCACCTTGCTCTGTGAAATGGCTGTCATACTTCCCATATCAGCGGCTTTGGGTACTGAGCTTTAAAACTGCAGCAAATGCCTGGACTCTGGCTCCATTCTGAACTTCTTATTGCTTACTTCAAACCTCTTCATGCACAACCTTGAAAACCCTGTGGAGCAGATCTTCTCTGCACACATGGGGTTGCCATGAGTCAGAATTGATTCAGTGGCAACTAACAACAACAACAACAACAACAAAGAGGTCTGGATTGAATTTAATTGAAATCATGACTGTAAAGAATATTTTTAATAAACCTCATCGTGCATTGACTTTCTGAGACTCTTGGATCCCCACACTCATTTTGCCTTATTTTGATTTGACAATCTAGCTTTAGATTATTTGCCTTGTTTCTGTCCCGGCCACAGTGAGTATTCACCTTGATCCCAGTCTAAAATCTCCAGATAACATTGATCAAGGCCTGTAGCACCGCCCACCCCATTCCTCATTTCAAAAAAGAGCATGTATTTGAAGCAGGAGATCACGAAGTGACTTCTAGGGATAATGACCCTTTGAGCTCTTGCTATGATGCCACCCAGGGAATTCATCGCCAAACCCTTGCACTGGAAGTGAGGCTAGGAGGAACTCTTAAGTGAGTGGATTCTAACCCATGTCTCTGCCTCTAGGCACAGCCATACCTCAACCACAGGAGTGAAAAAATCATGGAAAAAGCAGTGCTTTGACTTACTGCTCATGATGTTTGATTCATAAAACTTGGGGTCGTCACGCTTCACTTTATTAGGATTTTCACAAAACTTGTTGATGTTGTCCTCAATGTACCAACTCTTGTTCTCATCGAACACAGCAAACACAGCCTGTTGCTCAATGTCTGCTGCCCTCTGGAAGGTGAAAATGCTGTGCTCAGTGATTAATATTCCAACAAATTATCTCCAACACGGAGTTCTTCTCAGAAACCAAAGGGGCACAGCCTTTGGGGCCACTGAAGCCACAAATTCAGGCATTTGTAAGATTTCATTATGTACAAGGCATATGGTAGAGCCAAAAGTAATTACAAAAGCAAACAGAGCACACCAGAAAATTCAGAGACAAAAATGTACTAAAAGAAAAATTCCATTTCACCATGCCAACAGAGTCTATTTATCACTGTAATTGAGCAGCTTTTAACCTGCAATAGGAAAGCCTTATATCTCTCCATATCTGCTTACTTTCATAGTTCAATAAATCAGGAACTGCAAAGCACCAATTTCTGATTTTACTAGGCATATATTTATTTTATCAGGAGCCCTGGTAGCACAGTGGTTAAGCACTTGGCTGCTAACTGAAAGGTTGGGGGTTTGAATCCACCAGCCTGCTCCACGGGAGAAAGATGTGGCGGTTTGTTTCCATAAAGATCACAGCCTTGAAAACCCTATGGGACAGTTCTACTCTGTCCTATAGGGTCATTATGAGTAGGAATCAACTCGATGGCAATGTTTTGTTTTGTTTTATATTTATTTTGTATGGCTTGGGATGAGACCTCTTTGATTAGAGTTTAGCCTATAATCTGCTCTGGAAATTTTAGGTTATTAATATGAGACTATTCTTCACTGAAGATAAACTCAGAAGATACATATCTTTGTTCACATTTTTCTGTATAAGTTAGTCTCACCAGAGATGGACACTTGTTTGGGTCCAACTTCACAAGAAACTGTTTCTCTAAGTGCACTTGCTTTCAGGGAATCTCTCCTATCTCTTCATATCGTAGTTCTCTAAAAATAACAAGGATTGGTACAGAGCTTTATAGTTTTATCAGGTGGTGTATCTCTTGAGCCCTGAAACAACACTGTAAAAATTTTAGGGGTGGTATTAAAAAAAAGGAAGAAATTAAGGTAGGCTAAGTGACTTGCTCAAGACTCCAGAGCCAATACCTATAGACCTAGAATTTGAAACCAAAGCAAAATATAGCATCACACTGTAGACTTGCCTTCTGCAGTAAGAGTCCAGATGAAGTAGACAAGATGAGAAAGTAACCGAGGGAATAAATGCCATCACACTAGTGTAAAGAGGTTGACTTAATATTACCGCTCTCTCAAAGGAAAAACTCCATTATTTAGCAAGGAGCACCTAATCTGTTTCAGCTGGAAGAAATTCCTTGAATTTTTGCAAGGTTATTTCAAGGACAGAATACCTGTATGCCTCGCTTGTCGAGGGATCTGCTCTTACAAATCAGAAGTAGCCCTATTAGCCCAGAGGCAATGTCCCTTGTGATGTCCACATCACTGTAGTATGGCCTCGTTAAGCACTGGGCATCGTTTTCTGTGGGTTCGTCAGACTCTAGGATGTTCCATTTATAAGTATAGGTTTCTCCTGGTTGGACTGGTCTGATCATGAAGGTACCACCTGAAAAAAAGTTGTTTTCATTTGGAAAATCATTTTATGATTACAAACAAATATTAGAGCTCTCATAAGAACCAAGTCATACTGGGAAAGGAATATTCTTTTTATATTAAACTCTACTTGACAGAACCCTGGATAGCATGTAGCCATTAGATATTGTTCCACTAGAGGCTGCTATAACACCAAAAAAGGACACCATATTTTGTAAGCACTAAGCTAAACATATGGAAACCCTGGTGGTGTAGTGGTTAAGAGCTTGACTGCTAACCAAAAGATAGGCAGTTTGAATCTACCAGGTGCTCCTTGGAAACCATATGGGGCAGTTCTACTCTATGATATGAGTTGGAATCGACATGACGGCAGTGGGTTTGGTTTTTAGGTTTTTAGGGTGACCATGGAGTCCCTGGGTGGTGCAAATGGTTAACGCACTCAGCTGCTAACAGGGTTGGAAGATCGAGTTCACCCAGAGGTGCCTGGGAAGAAAGGCCAGGTGATCTACTTCTGAAATATTAGCCATTGAAAGTCCTATAGGGCACAGTTCTACTCTGACCCACATAGGGTTTCCATTTATTGGAGTTGATTTGATGGCAACTGTTTTTTTTGGTACTGGTTAGAAGGTAAACAAAAGCCCTGAAGTGAGCACGGTTTGGCTGTGACTTTTAGGATCCCTCTATATGTATCCTGTGTAACTACACCAGTCATACCACTGGGCAAGGAAGACTGTGGAAAAATACGGCAGCCTCTCAGAGGGAAATCGTTTCCTCCAGTAGAAGTGAAAGATTCAAACCTGAGATGGAGGAAGAGTTGACTTCATCTTCATAAGGAGAGAAGGTTACTCCATGAGGGTAAATGCTGTAAGGGCGGCTGGCCATATTTTTGAACACAATCTACAAAGTTAAATCAAATTCATTATTTCAGGATTTAAGGTCAAATATGAGAATTAATACAGGATGCTACTTTTGCATTTTCACTTGGATGGTGTGTGTGAGTGCATGTGTGTGCGTGCATTGCACACGTGCTGGGACAAATGGTGAGAAAACTAGTTATGTTTTTCTAAGCAGCAACCTCTTTCCATTACCTGGCAAGAGTATTTGAGAGAGGTTCACTCACACATTAAAGTGGAAATGGTAAGAGAAGTCTGACCTTCGAAGACAAGTTAGTAGAAGTGACATTTCCCTCAAAGTCTACCACCCACTCGGGTCCTCATCATTCTCTCCCTCCCTATCAGCTTGATGAGATGGAGAGTCTCATCTCTGGATCATGACCCCTCTCTCCTGCCTGCCAGATCTCCTACAGCTATTATCTTTGAGGCTATCTTTTGAGGGGCACAAACAGTCAGATCCTGAATTTCCCGCGAAGCATGTTTATACTTGCCAAGAGCACAAGAAAGGGATCACAGCAAGTAGGGGAAGAGAAAGAAGAACAGAGAAAGACTACTTTTTTTCCTTTTGCTATTTTTAAACAACAGAAAAGATTGTGTCTGCAGGTGTCTTCTTAGTCCACCCCCATACAGAAGTGAAGGGGAGGCATTATTACAAAGGAGTCCTAGTGAGGCTCCTTAATTTTCAAGAGAACCTTAATCCTATCTTCTACTTGGATGATTGTGAAGGCGTTTGGATTATCCCTAATCTATAGGTTATTTGCCTTCAAGAATCTTGCCAAAGATTGCAAGCTTGAAGTCTCTGCTGCCCAGTTCTTACCAAAAGTTTGGTGATGTGACAATATTTATGGAAAAGTGTCTGAAGAACACTCTTTATACATATCCAAATTTATCTTTGGATCAAGACCAATCATCAGAGAGCCACATACGTAGACCAAATAGTTTTGTACCCTTGAAGAGTTGTTTTTACTTATTTGTGTTTACTATTAGGCTGTTAGCTATAGTCAGAAACATTATTTTAAAAAGCCAAGCAAAGTTTATTTATTGTACCAGTTGTAGGGATTTTCTCAAGGATGCCACTACAACAAGCACCTTCTTTTTAAGGATTCATGAGAGAAAGTTCTCTTAGGCCTCAGTATTAGGGAAAACTGTGCTTCTTTTATGAATACTGGGACTCTTGCTCTGACATATTTCCCTTTTAATTTTAGCTGCTAGAAAGCTTAGAACAAAATTTGCAAACAACTTTTATAGGACCGTATCATATGTGTTTATTATGCTTATCTTATCCTTGGTTTTATTTTCTTTCTTCCCGTATTATCCTTCACCCCAACTACATCAATTCTACTTTATTCCTTTATAATTTGATAAACTGTCTCAGATCCTTTGTTGTATAAGGCAGGGTATAAGTAAATGCAAATACTAAATAAAAACTAAAAGCTGCATTTGAATTTCAGATAATACGGACACCTTTTCCTTTTTAAAAGAAACAAATAACCAGGTATTATTGTTGCTTACTTTGAGTGTGTCTCTGACTTGGGCTCTGATAATAGGGCCCAAAATCCCATCTTCTTGGGCATTAGGATTCTCCATGCGTTTGGTGAAGGACTCATCTTGATACTGTTTGTAGACCACCTTTTTATAAAGCTTTCCAATTTGGTTTGAGAAATTATCTAAATGTAGAGATCTGTATTTTCTTCAAGTGAGATGAAATTAAAAAAAAGTATTAAACCACTTTTTCAAGTAGATACCCCAATATGATAGGAAAGTTCTGCCTTAGAAGTTCTACTCTTGGGTTAGCTAAAATGCTAGTTCTCTAAAAATTCTTAATGTAATTTTCAAAGTCTTGATGTCTTTTATCTAGCTGGCAAACTGGAAACCTCTAAGGTGTCTTCTCTACCACTGATAAAGTCGTAGGTAACTGTTTAGCAGCTATTTTGATCTTCTTGTCACTCTAGTTTCTACAGCAGAACTTTGATATCACTGGGAAAAGGTCTACATACGCTGAAAGAATAGGATGCACTAGGAATTTTTCTGAGGTCTTTTCCATCACTTAATCTATGGTACCCTTATTTGCTTTCCAGGTATTCTCAATCTCTAAAAGTACTTTCCCACTCCAGGATTTAATAGGCATAGTCTGGTAGGTGAACAATGCTATTTCAGTGAAGTTTTAATTTGCATTTCTCTTATTATGAAGGAGCTTAAGTATCTTTTCAAGTGTTTAAGAGCTATTTGAGTTTCCAAATTTCTTAGCCTCTCTGACGCATTTCCTTATCTATAAAATAAATGATAGCAGTGTCTAACTTGTAGAGTTGATGGAAAACCCTCAGAAAGAGTTTAGTACAGTGCTTGACAATAGCAAGCATTCAACAAATGGTAGCTGCGATTATTATTATTGTTATTATTATTAAGCTGAATCCCCTTAGTGAGTTTGGGGTGAATCCAGATTGACTTGGATAAGAAGACCTGAACCAACACATGAATTGTCAACTCATGACATTTCACCCTCATGTATCTAGGATCCTATGAAATGCATTTTGAGCCTTCCCACAGCGCTAAGACCTCTCTGACTCACTTGTCCATATTCGCTGGTATTATAGGTGCATAGTCCCAAATGACTTCCTCTGCAGCAACAAAGTATTCCCATCTCTTAATGTGCCGCCTCTGGTCACGTGTTAGTTTCTTAGGACTCCTGGTTTTCTTTGGGCAGTTTTCAATGTTGATGTAAGCGTGCATCCCAGCTGATTCGGGAAATAAAGAAGTGAAAGAATTTAAGAGAAGCTATTAAGGTTGATTGGAATGCATGTCTTTTAAATAAATTATGAGGAAGATTTAAATGATACCAATGAAAGTAATACTCAAGCAACTTTTAGCATTTTGGTTTGGAAGTTTTTTAGTGGAGTTCAGAAGGGTGCAAGAGCGAAAAGGAAGGGAAATAGAGGGAGGGTTAGGGAAAGAACTTGGAAAGACTCCTTTTGTTTCTACTAGAAATAGGAAGATTTCTTGTAATTTCCAGACCCTTAAACCCCTGTGACTTAGGTCTTGTTAAATTTCCAGTTCCCCTGTCTTATGTTTCTTCAACTCTAAAACGAGGTTGTGTACTTATCTCCTCGTACTGTTGTTAAAAATTAAATAAATTAATACATAAGACACTTACAACAGTGCCTGGCAATGATAAGTCCTCAATAAATGTTCATTTTATTGCTGTTGTTTCATTATTATTAGGGATTCTATCTTCTAGGGGTATTATGACAATTTTACTACTTTAAATATAATTTTGACCATTTAGTGCTAAAAGAAAACTAAATGATCCCATGAAGCATCTCTTTTGGTTATGCACATTATTCTGATAACAAAATAATTTTCTATAGTGATATCATTTATTTAGATTTTAGTCTCTGTTTATATGAACCCTCTTCCCAACAGTCTTAAAGCAAAAATGTGTAGTGAAACAACTATTTTGTTTATGCTGTTTAGGTTGTTTCAAGTAACAGCATAGGCTGCTTTTTTCCCCCACCTGAATTTACTGATATTTCTGGAAGCCAACCCCTCAGCTGTTAGGAAGTTGTGTATGATTCATTCAATATACATTCACGGAGCTCCTCTCGGTGCTCATCTCATCATAAAATACAATCTTTTCATGATGAAACTCTCACATTTTCTGTAACTTGGTGCTTCTATAAATTTGCAAGTAAATGTTTGTTTTGTTCAAAGGTCTTTTCCTTTTGCTACATTATTAAAATCTCCATGAAATAATACTTCTATGTATGCATTTATTTCCTTCCCCTTTTCTCCTCTCAAGAAAGTAGGGACCTCTTTGGTTTTTGCTTCTTTTTTTTCTCTTTGTCAATTCCTCCTACTCTCAACCAATGGGTTCTAAGTCTAAAAGCAGACTATCTAAATTCTGTTCTCAGGGGCCAGGGGATGTATGTCTGTGGCGGAGGTGGCTTGAAAAGGCAAAGCAGAAAGAGGGAGTGAATGTCTGGGAAGAAAGTGTCCTGTATTCAGAATCCAGACTGTTGGAGGAGTTTCCTTGCCTTGAAAATGTTTTGGGATGAGAGACGATATGGCCCATCTTCCCTGTGGGCTCACGGTCATGTTTGCAGTAGTGGACATGGCGCTGGTGAGGATGATGGCTGAGATCTTATGATGGTTCTGCTCCAGGACCTGTCCACTGAAATGAATGGAGAACAATTCTGGTCCAGAGCTCATTCCAATCAGATGCCAGCTGATGTGGTCATAGGCACAGACTGTTATATCTGAGACAAAGGGAAAGACAGGGGCCACAACAGGCAGTCAGTCTAGCACTCAGTAATTAAAATTTACTCACCAAACATGTATTGAGTACCTGCTATGGACCAGGCATGGTTCAAGGTTCTGGGGCACAGTCTCTCTGGACACAGCCCTGGCAAAAGCAGACTGCCGAGTGACAGGAAGCAAGCAGTCCAAAACACACTGCCATAAGTGGCACTATAGAGGTAAGACTGGGGTCTGATGGGAGCCAGAGATGGGAAACATTGACTCAGAAATACAGAGGTTGCTGGGGATTAGGCCAAGGAGAAGAGCAAGCAGGGCAACCAGCCATCCTGCTTTACCCAGGGCTGAGGGATTTCCCAGGATGCAGGACTTCAGTGTTAAAGTCTGGAAAACCCTAGGCAAACTGGCATGGTTGGTCACCCTAGAAGCAGGCTGGGCTCATCTGGAGGAAGAGCCTCCAACGTGGCTGGGTTCAAGGACCTCAGCCTCTCAGCTGGATGGAGGTCAAAGCTCTGCCTCGCAGGAAGAAGCTGTGAGAACCCTTTGAGGACTTTTTATTGCTTCTTTACCCACTTGTTGATTGTTTTGTTGACAAGGCAGTGAGTTACTCTGTGAGTTACACACTATCCTTAAAATGCATTGGACAGGTAGTCATTATGCTGAGCCATTTAGTGCCTTTCATGAATGCGGTAACGAGAACTGAGTGCAAAAGCTAGTTCTGCTCCCTCTTTGCTCCTACGGTGACTAGGAAAATGCCCATTCGCTCTGTGGAAGATTGCAACCCTGGCTTCTATCCTTGGCTTGGGTTTTAAATTTCAGACCATACTTGCTAGATATTAGATGATGGAGCTGGGAATTAGTCCCTAATCTACAGAGGGGCTTGTCTTTTTTTAAGGAGACCACTGCAACAGAGGAATCCCTGAGTGGTGCAAACGATTAAGTGCTTGACTACTAGCTGAAAGGTTGGCAGTTTGAACCCAGCCAGAGGATTCTCAGAAGACAGGCCTGGCAATCTGTTTGAGAAAGATCACAGCCTTGAGAACCCTGTGGAGCAGTTCTACTCTGCACACATTGGGTCACCATGAGTTGGAATTGACTCAATGGCAACTAACAACACAAAAACAACATTGCAACAGGACAGGGATTCCTGGTGTCACTCTTGAGAATAAGAAGCTAGAACCTGACTCAGATAGGAGGTGTGGTGGAAGCATTTATCCACCCCCAAAGAAACACTCATATTTAATTCAGCAATTAAAACGTCTGATTAGGAGGCAGAGCCAAGATGGTGGAGTAGTCAGATGGCTTCCTATATCCCTCTTACAACAAAGACCTGGAGAAACAAGTGATTTGATTGTATATGAATATCTAGGAGCCCTGAACAAGGTAAAGTTGAGGAACTGGACTGAGAGGCAGGCGGAGAGGGAGACGGTTCTGAAGAAGCGAGAAGTGCTGGACTGCAGCTTGAGCCGCAGCTTCGGCACCGACTGGCTCCGAGGTATGCAGTGAAGCAGGCAAACAGCTGTGTGCACGTGCTCAGGAGGCAATTTCCACATCAAGAGAGATCTGGCAGTAGAGTTTCTGCTTGGACACTCCAAACCAGTGAAAAGCAGCTCCCAAGTGGCTAAAGATAAGTACATGCGTGTGGCCTTTCACAGGGATTTAAAAAAAAAAAAAAAAACCTCTCTCCCTTTTACCTCCTCCCTCCCCACTCTGCACTGGTCTGGCATTCTTAAGTCTGACTCTCCTGGGCCAGAAGTAGATCCCAAAAGGCGCCCTGGCCTTGGAGAAGGAACAAATAAGCTACAGGCTCCCCTAAGCCAGGAACTCAGGGTTGGCACAGCTCCTTTGCTAGGCACAGGCATAAGAGGTCCACAGACTTTGAGTGCCTTACACCCCTGTATAGACTTGTGGGGACCCATCTCAACAGCATTAGCCCTCACTACTACAGTACAACAGGATAAACATCTGAAGTCTAACTTCAACTGTTTCAGCTGTGAAGTGGCAGATTTGTGACCCTCCACACGGTCCTGCCCTTTAAGCAGGCACCTTTACTGATCTGCACCAGGGGCTTGAGGACTGGTGGCTTCACCTACGCCACCTAGTCACCTGCTACAGGAGTCCAAGAATAAATGGTGCCCTTGAGTCTTTACAGCCAACAGAGTGGGGTGCTCATAGTCTGGCTGCAAAACTCAACAACCTACTTGCCCTAGGGAATAGGGACACACTTTCCTTTCAGACTCTCAGGGGCAGCCATCAGCCCCCTGCCTGGCTCAGCGCATGACCCCCTCCTGCAGCCAGATACCTGTGCCTACACCAATTACCCATGCCTCTCTAAGACTGTAGGTGAGATCCTGCACCACACAGTTGGTGACCAACTGCCTAGACACCTGAGCTGAACCCATATAAAGAAAATTTAACAGACTCCTGTGTGCACATACTTAGTTACAGAACTAACTACCTGGTGACAGGACATTAGAGCTTCAAAGGTACCAATAATCAAACTAGTGCACATGAGCAGCCTATTGGGGCATATCAAAACAAAACAAAACAAGAAGCTAGGAGTCACTAAACAAATATAAATAAAATTATAATAACTTATTGATGGCTCGGAGACAACAGTCAATATCAAATCACATAAAGAGGTGGTTCATGATGGTTTCAGCAAGCTCCCAAAATAAAGAATCAATAAATTCTCTGGAGGAAGAGAATTTCTTGGAATTACCAGAGGCAGAATACAAGATTAATATACAGAACTCTTCTAGAAATTAGAAAGGAAATTCTCCAAAATGCAGAAAATCCAAAGACCACACAGACAAAGTAGTAGTGGAACTTAAAAAAAAAACTTATTCAAGAACATAATGACAAATTTAATAGGCTGCAAGAATCCATAGAGAGACAGCAATCAGAAATCCAGAAGATTAACAGTAAAATTTCAGAATTAGACAACTCAAGAGAAAGTCATAGGAGCACAACTGAGGTAGTAGAAGTTAGAATTAGTGACACTGAAGATAAAACACTTGACACCAACTTATCTGAGGAAAAATCAGATAAAAGTATTAAAAAGAATGAAGAAACTCTAAGAGTTATGTGGGACTCTATCAAGAGAAATAACCTACGAGTGATTGGAGTACCAGAACAGGGAGGCATAACAGAAAACACAGAGAAAATTGTTGAAGATTTGTTGACAGAAAACTTCCCTGATATCATGAAAGATGAGAAGATTTCTATCTAAGATGCTCATTGAACCCCACATAAGGTAGATCTCAAAAGGAAGTCACCAAGACATATTATAATCAAACCTGCCAAAACCAAAGATAAAGAGAGAATTTTAAGATCGACTAGGGATAAAAGAAAACTCATCTACAAAAGAGAGTCAATTAGAATAAACTCAGACTACTCAGCAGAAACCATGCAGGCAAGAAGGCAATGGGATGACATATATAAAGCCTTGAAGGAAAATAACTGCCAGCCAAGAATTATATACCCAGCAAAACTGTCTCTCAAATATGATGGTGAAATTAGGGCATTTCCAGATAAACAGAGGTTTAGGGAATTTGCAAAAACCAAACCAAAATTACAAGAAATACTAAAAGGAGTCCTACGGCTAGATAATCAATAACATAAGATAACAATGCAAGACTAGAACACAGGACAGAGCAACCAGATATTGACTCAGATAGGGATGTTGAAAACACATCAAAGCTAAAATATTAAAAATACAGAAACAGAGATATCAATATGTAAAAAAGGACAACATTAAAACAAAAAAGAGGGACTTAAAAAATGCAGACATTGATTTTTCATATGGAGGGGAAGTCAAGGCGATATAAAGAAATAAAAGACTGGTATAAACTTAGAAAAATAGGGGTAAATATTAAGGTAACCACAAAGGAATCTAACAATCCTACAAATCAAAATAAAAAAGTAGAAAAATATAAAGACCGAGCAAACACAAAATCTACAACAATGAAAAAGATGAAAAAAATACATAAAGAAAAACGACTCAGCACAGAAAATTAACGGGAACAAAGAAACTGTGGATAACACACAAAAAGAGACATCAGGATGACAGCACTAAACTCATACCTATCGATAATTACACTGAATGTAAATGGACTTAATGCATCAATAAAGAGACAGAGAGTGGCAGATTGGATAAAAAAAGCATGATCCATCTATATGCTGCCTACAAGAGACGCACCTTAAAGACACAAACAGGCTAAAATTCAAAGGATGGAAAAAAAAAATATATCAAGCAAACAACACTCAAAAAAGAGCAGGAGTGGCAATATTAATCTCTGACAAAATAGACTTTAAAGTGAAATCCACCACAAAGGATAAGGAAGGGTACTATATAATGATTAAAGGGTCAATACACCAGGAGGACATAACTATAATAAATATTTACGCACCCAACAACGGGGCTCGAAGATACATAAAACAAACTCTATCAGCACTGAAAAGAGAGATAGACAGCTCCACAATAGTAGTAGGAGACTTTAACATGCCACTTAGGGTGAAGGACAGAACATCCGGAAAGAAGCTCAACAAAGACACGGAAGAGCTGAATGCTACAATCAACCAACTTGATCTCATAGACATATACTGAACACTGCACCCAACAGCAGCCAAGTATACTTTCTTTTCCAATGCACATGGAACTTTCTCCAGAATAGACCACATGTTAGGCCATAAAGCAAGCTTTAACAAAATTCAAAACATCGAAATATTACAAAGCATCTTTTCTGACCATAAAGCCATAAAAGCAGAAATCAATAACAGAAAAAGCAAGGAAAAAAAAATCTAACACATGGAAACTGAACAACACCTTGCTCAAAAACTACTGGGTTATAAAGGAAATTAAGGATGGAATAAAGAAATTCATAGAATCAAACGAGAATGAAAACACATCCTACCAGAGGCTTTGGGACACAGCAAAAGCAGTGCTCAGAGGGTCCTACTGACCCTTCTTGCTACAGATTGGCCTTGAACTTCTGCCCTGTAGGGTTTTGTTTATGGAAGAAGGCATGGTCACCGTGTAGCAGGGACCACAGAACTCACTAAGGATAACTGAGCTAACATCCTGGAGGTCTTCCTAGAGGTACAGGCCAAGATGAAACCTTCTCAGTACATTACATCTAACAAGGCTACATACTCCTTCATTTAGCTAACTTCCAATTCCTGTTGTAGTTGCTGGTTAAAAAAAATGGATGATAAATGTTTGAAAAGTACTGCACTAGATTACATTGCTTTTCTGATTAGGAGTTGAAAAAACAGTGAGTATGGTTAAGTTTCCCAGTGCCGTGAGAAAAACAATGGGTCCTAAAGCACCGATTTTACTGTTGTTGGATGGTACATGGGCCACATTTTACCTGGCAGTGTCCCATTCACATAACCATTGACTGTGTACATTAGAGACGATGACTGGATCCAGCTCTTGCTTTCATCAAACACAGCAAACATCAGCACATGTTGCTTGTCAAACATCTTCTGAGTCCCATCCTCAGTTAGCGTGCCTATGAAAGAAAAGACACTTCTCAACAGCATCCCAGAAAGAAGACTCTCATTAGCTATTTTTAGATAGTAAAGAGTTTAAAGCAAGTAACAAATCATAATGATATCAGCTTTAAGTTCTTATTTAAAAAAAAATCTTTATCAAGTAATAATTATTGGGGATCTATTAAAATTCTGGTGCCACATTAAGTGTTTTCTCTGGCACCTTGTAGCTTTGGGTAAATAAATGTCACCTTACACACAGTGGAAGCATTTGGTGACTGTCAAGGTTCTAGTAAAAGTATCCATTTCCTCCAGTGTCAATACATAGATAATTTAGCTTGTAGGTAAAAGCACTGCACCCAAATTTAATCCAGCACTCTTGCTTGTACATGCAATAGGGCACCAGAGAACTGGTTGAGAGAGGATAAGGATTAATCCATTCTCATTTGACAAATTAAAAAAAAAAGTAGGTGATGGTGCCATCACACTATCTTCTATGTACCAGAAAATAAAAAAAATGTATTTGTGAAATGAATAAATGAATTAGAAATGTATGCAGGTATGGTATGTGTGTATGTACAGACTGATAGTGAGCATTTCACATTACTTCCTAGACTGCAGTTCATTGTTGTTTGTTTGTTTTAAGAAGAGATGGACTGAATTCTCTTGGAGTAATATAAAAAGCCAAGTTAGTTCCTAAGAAGGCCAGCCAGTGAAATTTCTTATAAATTCAACTGAGTATGTTTGAAACTCATCACCCATAGTGTTCAGCTTTTTCATAAGAAAGGAAGCTGGAGTTTCATGTGTTTGTAAACTAAATTACCAACCCAACCTTCAGACATGTCAGATGTGTTAGTAACGTTCTTTCAAGTGCTCTCTGAGCACAGTACAGCCTGCTGTACACTTTCAAAAACACTTTGGCCTTGAGGTAAGTGTTATAGATCACACGTGGATGGCATCAGAACATACTCTCAGGCAGGGATTTACTTTGGGGAGGCTCCCAGGACTGAGATAAAGGAGGAATTGGAATAGATAGAGGAAGATTACAAACATCAAATATCGGGTTCCCTCTAATTGATGTACAAAAAGGTAGCAAGACGCTCTACAGCCACATTCCATTATAGTACTCCTTACTACCACTCCAACATCTTTTTTGTTGCTGTATAATCTTTTTTTTCTTTGTTTACCTTTCTTACAGATAAGCAGAGGTCCAACCAGCCCAGAGTTGAAGTCCTGTATCAGATTTTCATAGGAGTAATAGATGTGTGTGAGACACGGAGGGTCATCTTGTGTGGGTCCGCTGTCCTCCATGATATTCCACACATAGGTGTATTCTTGACCTGGAGCTATAGCATCGTCAATCTTCTCCACAGGGAATGTGTGGTCAGGGTAAGAAGCACCTGGAGAAATAAAGCCATCATGGTACCTGGGTAGTTTCTGAAGACTACTTCTTCATCACTTTCAAATCTGAGGGAACCTAAAATGAGCTCTGTAGAGATAAATAAGCCTTTCTCTAGTGAAATTTCATTATTTAGAAGGATTTACATATATCCATTACTATGCCAATATAATTATAAAAACTTTGATATCATGTTGATTTGAAGTGAGTAGAAGTGTTATTTGTAAGTTAGTTTAGGTTAGCAAGTTTTCCAGGTATTTAAATAATTATTATTTCCATGTAATCAAAGAATTGAGTCACTTTTGATTGGTAAAATCATCTTAGAACACGAGAATGTGTTGCTATGAGTCGGAATCAACTCGACTGCAATGGGTTTGGTTTTGGTTATGAAGCTTGACAAGACATCTTATACTTAACTACCTGTTAGCATGGGGCACAAGTAAACTCAGAGCTGTTAATATACTATTTTGTTTTGCTTGTAAGTATTTCATATCCTCTTTCTTTCTATTTCAACTGCTGCCAACTTCAGCCCTGTTTTATCTCTTTATCACATATCTGCCATCTGGTTATCCCAACTCTTTCCTCAGAGTCCTATGTACAGTCTAGTTGTCCTTGTGAATATGGAATGTGTCTATCCTCTGAAGTTTAGATGCTTCCTTCTGTCCTTTGTGCACTCAAAGACCCACAATTAACACTTCCAAGTACACTTGTCTTTACCAACTTTGGGGAGGAGTAATATACAGAATGTTTTCTTTATTGAAGATGGGGAACTGAGATGTTTAAGACTAAAAGAAGTGCAGAGGATTGGGTGGGGCTTTCAACAACAAAAAGAAGATGTGGCTAGAGATGAAGCAAGTGAGGTCAGGAAGGGGCGAGGTCAGTGTCATAGCCAAGTGGAATGGGCAGTTTCCCTGCCTGAGGAATTCCTCTTTTAATTTTGTGAAAATTCATCATCATTGGCTGGTGCCGGAATTTCTCTTTGGGATGCAGTTCTCCTTCTTTTATACAAAACCTTGACAAAATTCCTTGAGGTGGAAGGTTAGACTGCCAGAGCGTGGGCATGGGCAGACAACAAGGATAGAAAAAAAGGTTAAAATATTTTATATGATGGTGGTAAAGGGTTGGGGTCAGTGGAAACTATTCTTACTGAAGTGCTTGTACATTTTGAAAATAGAAGTGCTTAATTTAACCTATAGGAAAATCCAACACTTCTACAACAAAAAGACAAATAATCCAATTAAAAAATGGGCAAATGATATGAACAGACATTTCACCAAAGAAGACGTTGAGGCGGCTAACAGACACATGAGGAAATGCTTGCGATCGCTAGCCATCAGAGAAATGCAAATCAAAATGACAATATACCATCTCACACCAACATTACTGGCACTAATCAAAAAAACAGAAACTAACAAATGCTGGAGAAGCTGTGGGGAGGTTGGAACTCTTATGCACTGCTCGTGGAATGCAAAATAGTAAAACCATTATGGAAAACAATATGGCACTTCCTTAAAAAGCTAGAAATAGAAATACCACACAATCCTACAATCCCCCTCCTCGGAATATATCCTAGAGAAATAAGAGCCATCATACGAATAGACATATGCACACCCATATTCATTGCAGCATTATTCACAATAGCAAAAAATGGAAACAACCTAGGTGCCCATCAACAGATGAATGAATAAACAAACTATGGTACATATATACAGTGGAATATTACACAATAATAAAGAACAGTGATGAATCTGCTAAATGTTTCACAAACATGGATGAATCTGGAGGGCATTATGCTGAGTGAAATAAGTCAATCACAAAAAGACAGATACAGTGTGAGACCACTATTATAAAAACTCATGAAAAGGTTTACACACAGAAAGAAATCTTTGATGGTTATGAAGGAGGTGGGGGAGAGGGGAGGGAAAAACAGTAACTAGACAATAGATAAGTGATAACTTTGGTGAAAGGTTAAGACAGAACACAATACTGGGGAGCCAGCACAACTTGACCAAGTGAAGGTCATTGAAGCTTCATAGACACATCTAAACTCCCTGAAGAACTGAGTTACTGGGCTGAGGGCTGGGAACCATGGTCTTGGGCAACATCTAGCTCAACTGGCATAACACAGTTTATAAGGAAAATGTTCTACCTCCTACTTTGGTGAGTAGTGCCTGGGGTCTTAAAAGCTTGTGAGCAGCCATCTAAGATACTCTACTGGTCCCACCCCATCTGGAGCAAGGGAGAATGAAGAAAATCAAAGACACAAGGGTAAGATTAGTCCAAAGGACTAATGGACCACAACTACCACAGCCTCCACCAGACTAAGTCCAGCACAACTAGATGACGCCTGGCTACCACCATCGACTGCTCTGACAGGGATGCCAATAGAGGGCCCCTGACAGAGCTGGAGAAAAATGTAGAACAAAATTCAAACTCACAAAAAAAGACCAGACTTACTGATCTGACAGACTGGAGAAACCCTGAGAGTATGGCCCTTTAACTCAGTACTGAAGTCACTCCTGAGGTTCACTCTTCAGCCAAAGATTAGACAGGCCCATAAAACAATAATACATGCAGCTCAAACATGTGTACAAGACTAAATGGGCACACCAGCCCATGGCAAGGATGAGAAGGCAGGAGAGGACAGGAAAACTGGACGAATGGAAATGGGGAACCCAAGGTGGAGAAGGGAGAGTGTTGCCACGTCGTGGGGTTAGCAACCAATGTCACAAAACAATATGTGTATTAATTGTTTAATGAGAAACTTTATCTAAAACACAATATAAAAAAAGAAGTGTTTATTTCTTTTCTTTCTTTCATCATCTTTATTGAGGTGTAATTTGCATACAATAAAGTTCACAGATTTAAAGAGTAAAATTTGGTGAGTTTTGGCAAATGTGTGTAGTCCTATACCTACCACCATAATCAAGGTACAGAACAGCTCTTTCTCCTCAAAAAATTGTCCTTATGCCGTTTGCAGTCAATACTACCCCCACCCCACACACACACCTCCTGGGCCAAGGCAAACACTGCTGTGCTTTCTGTCACTATAATTTTGCTTTATCTATGATGTCATGTAGGTAGAATTATACATTATGTATCCCTTTGGGTTTGATTAGTGTTAGTATGATATATCTTTTTCCATCCTTTACTATTAACCTATCTTTGTCTTTAATTTAAAGTGGATTTCTTGAATTCAGTATACATTGGGTCTTGCTTTTTATCCAATCTAACAATCTACTTCTTAATTATAGTGTTATTCTCATTTACCTCCTTTTTTAAAATAACATTTTATTGTGTTTTCAGTAAGGGCTTACACAGAAGTTTAGGTTCCCATTCAACAATTTCTACACAAGTTCTTCAGTGACATTGATACATTCTCCACAGTGCATGAAGATTCTCATTGTCTCCGTTCTGGTTGTTCTGTTTCCATTAATCCAGTTTTCCTGTCCCCTCCCATTTACTTTTCTAAAATTTTATTGTGCTTCAGGTGAAAGTTTACAGCTCAAGTTAATTTCTCATTCAAAAATTTATACGCATATTGTTTTGTGACCTCGGTTGCAATCCCTGCAATGTGACAGCACTCTCCTCCTTTCCACCCCAGGATCCCACTGTCCATTCATGCAATTTTCCTGTCTCTTCCTGCCTTCTGGTCTTGCTTTTGGGCAGGAATTGCCCATTTGGTCTCGTATATTTGATTGAACTAAGAATCACATTCCTCCTGTGTATTATATTGTTGGTTTCCTAGGCCTGTCTAATCTTTGGCTGAAAGGTGGACCTTGAGAGTGGCTTCAGTTCTGAGTTAGCAAGGTGTCCAGGGGCCATAGTCTTGGGGTTTCCTCCAGCATCTATCAGAACAGCAAGTCTGGTTTTTTTGTGAATTTGAATTTTGTTCTACACTTTTCTCTCTCTCAGTCTGGGACTCTCTATTGTGATCCCTGTCAGAGTGGTCAGTGGTGGTAGCCAGGCACCATTTGGTTCTTCTGGGCTCAGGCTGGTGGAGGCTCTGGTTCATGTAGTTCTTCGGTCCTTTAGGCTAATATTTTCCTTGTGTCTTTGGTTTTCTTCATTCTCCTTTGCGCCGGACGGGATGGGACCAATAGATGTATCTTAGATGGCTGCTCACAGGCTTTTGAGACCCCAGATGCTACCCACCAAAAAAGGATGTCGAACACTTTCTTTATGAATTGTGATGTCCCTAGATGTCCCCCTGAGACTAAGGTCCCAGCCCACAGCCCCAGCAACTAGGTCCGTCCAGGTGTTTGGATGTGTCTAGGAAACTTCTATGACTTTGCCTTGGTCAAGTTGTGCTGACTTCCCCTATATTATGTGTTGTCTTTCCCTTCATCAAAGTTAACATTTCTCTACTATCTAGTTCATGATTTGCCCTCCCCATACCTCCCCATCCTTATAACCATCAAAGAATGTTTTCTTCTGTGTGTAAACCTTTTCTTGAGTTCTTATAATAGTGGTCTCATACAATATTTGTGCTTTTGTGATTGACCTATTTCACTCAGCGTAATGCCCTCCAGATTCATCCATGTTGTGAGGTGTTTCGAGGATTCATCATTATTCTTTATCATTGGATCGTACTCCATCATGTGTATGCCCCATAATTTGTTTATTTACTCATCTGTTGATGGGTACTTAGGTTGTTTCCGTCTTTTTGCTTGTGAATAGTGCTGCAACGAACATGGGTGTGCATATGTCTATTTGTGTGATAGCTCTTATTTCTCTAAGATATATTCCTAGGAGTGGGATTGCTGGATCATATGGTATTTCTATTTCTAGCTTTTTAAGGAGACGCCATATCGTTTTCCATAGTGGTATTACCATTGTACATTCCCAACAGCAGTACATAAGAGTTCCAATCTCCTCACAGCTGCTCCAACAATTGTTATTTTCTGTTTTTTTGATTACTGCCAGTAATGTTGGTATGAGATGGTATCTCATTGTAGTTTTGATTTGCATTTCTTTAATGACTAATGATCACCAGCTGTG